CTGGGCCGGGGCTGGAGGCAAGTGCTGGGCCCCAGAGCAGGTGGGACTGGAGCCTCTTCCGAGGCGGACACCCCGGGGCGGATGCGGGCGGGAGGCAGGCTGTGGGAGGGGTTCTCCCAGCCCGAGGATTGGGATGTTTTTAACCGATTGCTTCTGCACGCCATGCCCAGTGTTGGAAAGCACAGAATGCAATGTCCTAATTCTCCAAACTAGTCAGATAATTTTCTTGTTAGGAAGTTGGAGAAATTGTTTAAATAACAAAATTGTATTCTTAAAGTTAGTTCCTTTAAAAAAAGATGATTAGCTTCCCCAGGAGAAATTATTATACTAATTTATATTTGTGGGGTGTGTGTGTGTGTGTGTGTGTATGTACATACACTGTAACATGGTAAAAATAATTTTGAAAATTACTATCCTTTCTTTGGATGTTATTTGGATAAGAGAAATAGGATCTTAGTTCCTATCTCTATTAAATTCTATAAAATACTATGGAAACCTTTTTCCCTATATTTTAAAATTTCTTGGTTTTGAGAAAATAATTAAAAATTGTCACTAGGGCAACAAAAGATTAGATTCAAAGTGTTAATATATTATGTAAATCTTTAACTTTTGAAATTAAATATTTGCAGTTAAGACATTTTCAGCTAGAATAAATCTTGTTTTAAATTTCAATAGCATTGAAAGTTCTGTTCTTGTTATATTTGTGAAATTAGTTTTTTTTGTTAAAAATGATAAGAGCTTATTTCTGTAGTACTTTATCTTAAAGCTTGTTTTAAGAACATATTGTCATTACTGTTTCCCCTTAAAAAAACCCCTAAATAATTAGCAAAAAATTGCTGTGAAGGTCTTTGAGACTTTTTACTGATGCCTGTATTAATTACTTAAAACCCCAATTAAAAATTTGGGCAAAGTAAGTGACCTTGAGTCAATAGTAATAAAGTCCAGGAAGTTTCTGAATGCAAATAAGCATTCACACTCCAAGTTGCTTGTCAGGCCTTAGAAGGTGCCATTTAAGAGGCTGGAGAGCAGTTGCGCTGAGCTCTGGGTGCACCTGGGTCTCACCCTCTCCCAGTTACACTGACAGTGATTTTTTACTTCTCTTCTGTAAACAGTATTTGAACTCTCTCTTTTTTTATTTGCCTGAGGATATTTTTTTCCACTGATTTTTAGAAAGAGTGGGAAGGAGGAAGGGAGACAGAGAGAGAGAGAAACATCGATGTGAGAGAGACATGTATCCGTTGGTGGCTTCCCGCACACACCCTGGTACATGCCCTTCCAGGAATCAAAGCCGAGACCCTTTGTGCTCTGGCCGACGCTCTAACCACTGAGTCACACTGCCACGGCTATATTTTTTAAAAAATATGTTTTTATTGATTTCAGAGAGAGGAAGGGAGAGGGATAGAAACATCAATGATGAGAGAGAATCATTGATCAGCTGCCTCCTGCACACACCCTACTGGGGATCGAGCCCACAACCGGGGCACGTGACCTTCTGGTTCATAGGTTGACACTCTAACCACTGAGCACACTGGCTAGGACTATTTGAACTCTTTATTGCTCTTTCTCTCCACCAATGTTTTGTGTTTCTGATTATAAAACAGCAGAGGAGCCCCCTCTGTTCCTGTCTATAATAATTGGATTTCTTTTTTACTAGGCTCTTTGATGAAAATAAATCCAGATAAGCATATATAGTTCAACTTTCCGTTTAAATGAATTTTTAGCAAATGCTGTTAATTATAGTCTGATTTGTATAGACACTATTGACATGGTTTATAGACAGAAGTAGGAAATCGATGTTTTTGCCCACGTGGCACCATTCCCACTCTTTAGCAGCTGGAAGCCTCAGAGGGAAATCCTGGAGGCACCACCGCAACCTTTACCTGGTTTTAAGAACATGAAGGTGTTTCCTTATAGACTTTGTATTTAATTAAAATAATTCTACCCAAACTTCATGTACATTGCCATTTACTGTAAACTCTTTTCAGAACCTGAAAAATGACCCAAGTTAATACATGTGAATATTACCCAATGCTAGGGGAAGACATGCGACATCACTGTGTGGGACGCAGGCTGTCAGTAGGCGTCACTGCCTTTGCACAGGTGGCTGGATCTGGGAGAGGCTCCGCCCTGGAAGTTACATGGGCTAAGCCCGGCGGGCAGGCCTGAGCCGAGTGCTGTGATGCTTCCTCTCCTTGACTCCGCACAAGGACCAGAGCTGTCGAGCTGTTCACCCTCATTTTGTAGATGAAACACTTCGAGTTTGGGGCTAGAGTAGCTCACCCTCGGTCTTTCGACCCCAAAGTGGTGGATCCTCCTTGGCCAGGCCTGAGGGACTGACCAGAGCCCGCTCCTACCTGGAGAAGGAGCAGCCTCTGAACACCCAGCCTTCTGAAGGAGGAGTCAGTGTGCAGGAGAATGACCGGGTCTGGGAGGGCTGAGACTGTTGTGTTTTCTGTTTGAATCTGATACTTTCAGAACTTGAAGTTCTGATGTGGCTAGCATAGTGTTGGTAAACATTGTAATGAAATACAAAATTGTGTAATTGTTTTAAATTAGAATCAGTTAAATAAAAATGGGTAGTGCCTTGTGCAGTGACTGACGCTTATTTGTCAGTGGACGTGCCTTAGTAACTTCTGTATTTACGGAGTTTTGTCGTTGGTGACTTTTGGGGGTTCGTGTTATGAATATAGTTTTGTGGGAAGCAAGGAGTAACAGAAGGCAAAAGCAATTGCAAGTGTCACACAAATAAGCTCTGTGTAGTGCTCCTGGTATTTCTCATCTGTAACACGTTGCTGCTCTAAAAATGTCTCAAATGACTGCTCATTTTCACCAACTTAGAATTTCCATCCTGTTTTTGCCGGTTGACACACTCTCTACTTTATTTGGTGTCAATGGACCAAAACCAAGGCTTAGAAGAACCTACAAAGTCATGCCTGCGGGCTCTCTGTGCCCAGCATCTCCTCCTGCCTTCACGTTCTAGCCTAAAGGTCCTGCCAGCTGGTGGCTTGGATTCTGCTGTGAACTTGGGGTGCTTGTTGTGTCTACTCATGACCAAGGCAACATGCTCTTGTCTTTGCTGCACTGGAGACTTC